AAGTTCATCCGTCTATACTTTTACCCTGCATCCTATGCCGGCCTCAATGCCTCCAATGCTGTTTTTACTGTCACTGCTCAGTCCTACACTATTCTCAAGAACTTCAGTGTTGCTCAGACAACTGAGGCTCTGGATTATGTTTATATTACCAAGGAGTTTTCTGTCAATGTCGATGGCGAGACGTTGGATGTTTCGTTTGCACCCTCTTCCGGGGTTGCGAATGCGTTTGCATTTGTGAATGGGATTGAGATTGTGTCAATGCCTGATATTTACAGTGCCACTGATGGTACTATCATGATTGTGGGTCAATCGGCTCCTTTCTACATTGATAATACCACTGCACTTGAGAATGTTTATCGGTTAAATGTGGGTGGGAATGATATCTCGCCGCCAGATGATACGGGTCTGTTTAGGTCCTGGTATGATGACACCCAGTACCTCTTAGGGGCAGCGTTTGGGGTTACTGGAACTGCTGATCCAAACATGACGATTAGTTACCCTACGACCATGCCTACTTATGTTGCACCACAAGATGTCTATTCCACTGCCAGATCAATGGGGCCAAATGCACAAATCAACCTCAATTACAATCTGACTTGGATTTTCTCAATCGACTCTGGATTCTCGTACCTGGTTAGGCTACATTTCTGTGAGGTTGCCCAAAATATAACGAAGGTTAATCAACGAGTATTCGATATCTTTCTCAACAATCAAACTGCTCAGTCTGGAGCTGATGTTGTTGCCTGGGCAGGAGGCAATGGAATTCCGGTGTATAAGGATTACGTGGTGTTTGTTCCGAATGGGAGTCCGCAGGTGGATCTATGGCTTGAGCTGTATCCAGACACTAGTGATAAGCCAAATTACTATGATTCAATCCTAAACGGAGTTGAGATATTCAAGATTAATGATACAACCGGTAACCTTGGAGGGCTTAATCCTGTTCCTCTTCCTAAGCAGGATATCATTGATCCAGCCATGGTTAGACTATCATCAGGTCATGGCAAGCCGAAGAGTGGTCAAAGAGCAATTATCTCTGGGGGAGTTAGTGGTGGAATTGCCGTAGCCCTCGTCCTTGGTTTCTTGGCTGTTTGTGTGTCTCGCCGTCGTAGACAACGGAAGGACGCAAGTTCAAGTGATGGGCCATCTGGCTGGCTCCCTCTTTCTTTATATGGAAACTCACACTCTGCAGGTTCTGCAAAGACAAACACAACAGGGAGTTATGCTTCCTCCCTTCCTTCAAATCTTTGTCGACATTTCTCGTTTGCTGAGATCAAATCTGCCACCAACAACTTTGATGAGGCTCTAATCCTCGGGGTGGGAGGTTTTGGAAAGGTTTACAAGGGTGAAGTTGATGGTGGAACAACCAAAGTAGCAATCAAGCGTGGAAGCGCACTGTCTGACCAAGGTGTGCATGAATTCCAAACTGAGATTGAAATGCTCTCAAAGCTTCGCCATCGTCATCTCGTTTCTCTGATTGGCTATTGTGAAGAAAACTGTGAAATGATCCTTGTTTATGATTACATGGCTTACGGAACCCTGCGTGAGCATCTGTACAAGACCCAAAAGCCCCCTCTACCCTGGAAGCAAAGGCTTGAGATTTGTATTGGAGCTGCTCGCGGTTTGCACTATCTTCACACTGGTGCCAAGCACACCATCATCCACCGAGATGTGAAGACAACTAATATTCTCTTAGACGAGAAGTGGGTCGCAAAGGTTTCAGATTTTGGGCTGTCAAAAACAGGTCCTACATTGGACAACACGCACGTCAGCACTGTCGTGAAAGGTAGCTTTGGGTATTTGGATCCAGAGTACTTCAGGCGGCAACAACTGACCGAAAAGTCTGATGTCTACTCATTTGGGGTTGTCCTTTTCGAGATCTTATGTGCTCGCCCGGCCTTGAACCCAACGCTTCCAAAGGAGCAAGTGAGCTTAGCAGAGTGGGCTGCCCATTGCCACAAGAAAGGCATTCTGGAGCACATCCTCGACCCTCATCTCAAGGGGAAGATAACGCCAGAGTGCTTCAAGAAGTTCGCTGAGACAGCAATGAAATGCGTTTCAGACCAAAGCATCAACAGGCCATCAATGGGAGATGTTCTTTGGAACCTTGAGTTCGCTTTGCAGCTACAGGAGAGTGCAGAAGAGAGCGGCAAGGCTATCGGCGGAGGAATGGACATCGAGGAAGAGCCCCTCGTGGACTGTAAAGGGAAGAAGGACCCCGAAGCAATGCCCGGCTATGATGGTAATATAACAGACTCAAGGAGCACCGGAATGAGCATGAGCATAGGCGGCCGGAGCCTAGCTAGCGTCGACTCTGATGGATTGACACCAAGTGCCGTGTTCTCGCAAATCATGCAGCCTAAAGGACGTTAGGATCGAAGGCACAGTTCATCCCTCGAATCAATTCAGGCAATGAAGTTTGCTGTTTGTTTTTTTTTCCACTTTTCATTCGTTTAAGTTACCGTTATTCTCTAATATTATTTGAACCTTCTTATGATTTGATCACGTTTAATTGTAATTTTGTATCTATAATATAACACCAAGAGCTTGAGAATATGTTTTATTACTTCACAATACTTGCTATAGGATTGCCGATTTCGCTTTCACATTTCATTTGTCCTACTCAACCAACTGATCTAACTCACATTTTCGCTTTTATAGTATAAATTGAGACCAATTCATGTATGTGTGTTGCTGTTATTGAGGGAAAAAAAATTTAGTGTACCAATAAACCGATTTGTTACATCAAATGTCATAGTACAAGTACTAGAATTTTTTTTTCAAGTATCAAATCACTTGTGTTATCAAAATTAATGTACCAAACGTTGTTTCTGACATTTTGAAAAATATCTTCTTGTTGGGACCATGACATGTGATTTGGGACCATGTTTAGATGCCGCGTATTAATGTCTGAAATGCAAGACAGACGACATTTAATTTTGTTTATTTAGGTTAATGAAAAGGACAGAATCACAGAAGAAGAATATTTTGGCTGTCACAGCCTCACAGCAAAGCTGAGCTGGCATTACGTGCCTGCCTGTCTTAGTGGGATTGTGACTTTTTTGTCACGGATGACGATGATTTTCTTCCCTCGTATTCCTATCTCCTTCTTTCTTTTCATCTCATATATTATTTTTTGTTTTATTATCTTTATAAAATAATCAATATAAAATGTTGATATGATTAAATTGTAACCGTTCATATAAAAAAAAAAAGGAAGGGGAAAGAGATTACGAGGGAGGGAATCCTCCTCCTTTTGTCACACGTCTTTTTGGGTTTGTGAAATGTTGACCCCCGTGGCAGAAAATTATCAAGAGAAATTAAAATTTCTTGTCCAAATTCTGTCTATCTTGACTTAATTTAACATCACGATTGTTTGATCTTTACGTCTCAAAAAATTCTTTGGTGTGATCCTACTACCGTCACATGATTATACCATAATATTAATTTTGCCTTATTTTATAGCACATAAATCTAGTTTTCATCTAAGTCGAAGTTTGCATCAGTATATTAAGAGAAACTGTTTGAGGTACTAAAGAATTTGTGAGAGAATGTAAGGTGTAGGTAAACGAATTGGTTGACGGTATATGCTAGTGTTTGATGTTTTGCATCGAGAAGTTAGTTTGTGTGATTGCAAGATATGCGTTCCATTCATTATCACTAGCTTCGTCTCTAAGGTTATCTCCAACCAAAAAGTTCAGAGAGCCAGATGATCGAAAATAGCTTGAAAACCATCTCCAACTGAGGGTTAGGACAGAGGGCTCGTGGGCCCCATGGAATCTAAAAGGGCCATAGGGCTGGCCCAATCCAACCAGCTAGCCATCCTCAGGCTGGCCAGAAATTTAAGAATTGTTGTCGGATATAACCGAAAGCATTGTTATTAATCATGTCGGTTATATCCGACATGAATTCTTAAAATTTTTTTTGAATCCAACGGCTAGCTGACGTTAGCTAGCTGTTATTTTTTATTTTATTTTATTTTACAATTTTTTTTAAATTGTTTTTTTTTAAATTTTATTTTTTTCCTATAACTTTCCTAAGTCATTATACAAACTTAAATTAAATTAAATAACATGAAATAACATTAAACAATATGAAATAACATTAAATAACATTAAATTTAAATAATAAATTATATTTGGCTCTATGACCCTTTGGTCCTCGGTTGGAGAATGTTTTTTGTGACAGGGCTAAAACGAGCCCTATGGTATTTTGGCCCTCGGTTAGAGATGGAAGCAAATATGGCTATATACTGTTTATTAAAATATTAATTTATTGGATGACCAGAAGATTAAAACGAGTCTTTCGACCAATCTTCTATTGGAGATGGTCTAACTATATTATGACACATAAATCAGTAACATGTGACTATAATTTCATTTAAGTTTTTAACTTCGACGAGTTGTCGGGAGTCGGGACCGGTGTATGGAGGGTCCACACGAGTTTGTGTCACAAACTTTGTGAGAGGGAGGTGACACAACCTGGACCTGCTTTGAGGAAAAAGACGATTTAAGACAGGAAGGATAACATGGTTTCCAACTGCTTTGCAGCTTCATTAGTGTTGCATAGCAGATTCATGAAAATTAGGCTAAAAAAAATGAAACATAGAAAGTTTGAAATTGCTTTCTGATGTAAAAAGGATCTTAGAGGGGGTATTCAATTGAGATTTTGAGGGATTTTAATTCTTTTAATGAATTTATGAGGATTCAATCAGAATTTTAAATGATTCTCTGAAATTCAATGTGTATTCAATCAGGATTTTAAGATAATTTATTAAAATCTTTAGAAATCCAGATGTATTTAATTAGAATTTTAAAGAAGTTATAACATTCTGTGTGTATTTAATTAGAATTAGAATTTAGAGATTTGGAAAAGTTGAGGAATGAATTGGAGACATTTTGTAGTGTATTTTAAGCATCCACAAATCTCACATCTTCCCATGAGATTTCAAGGGAATTGAATCAAAATTTTACATAGAATCTCTACAAATCAGTCAAACTCCGTAAAAATTCATAGATTTATAAATCTATTAAAATATCTCAAACACATCCCCTTAGATTTTCAATCTCGAAAGATGTTTACGATTGGTCGTATTTACAATCCAAAAAAAAAAAAAAAAAATCACGCCAAGCATATCCAGCAACCCACGACATGTAAAGGGAGGTAGTGAACAATCTTGCAAAATACATAGAAACCACTATTTTTCACACGTTTCAATCGACTCTACAACGGAAACTATCTTCTTCTGCAACTCTGGCTTGTTGGCACCCACCAGCTTGTCGATTTGCTGCCCATCCCGAAGGAAGAAGAAAGTAGGAGTGGCTTTGATGTCCCATGAAGTGCTGAAGTCCTGCACCATACAAAACCAAAGCATCAATCGACTGGAAACCTCACAAATTGTTTCGCGTGATTATAATTTTATGGTGGAATCCCGGATACATTCATGAGTAATTTGATTACCAGGCCAGAGTTGCAGATGCAAGGTAAAATTTCCTGTCCCCTAACTTGCATGCAATAGCACTAATACAATTACTGATTACATTAACATTACTCATTACCCATTACGACTTACAGTCAATTCATCAACATCGACCACAAGGAACATTAGAGAAGTGTATTGCTCGGATAACTCGCGGTATAGCGGTGCAATTATTTTGCAAGGACCACACCATGTTGCACTGAAGTTTGCAATCACCTGTTGGACATAACAATTTCAATTAGATAAGGAGCTATAAAGAAAGCTAAAAAAAGCCATTGAAACTAAACTTGCCTACTGCATATAAACTAATATGGACGCAAACCAGATTCAAAAGACGATGAACACGAAGATAACATCCAACGTAACCTGAATTCCGAGCAATATGTAACCATATATTGCATACCAATGGGCTCCATTGGAAATGTTTTTTTAATGACTAAAAACGCTTTTGGGGAAAATGTTTTTGGGTTCGAAAAGCACTTGCAGTTTTCCAGGATTCACTTTGATTTTTACCAACGATTGGTCCTAAAAACATTTTCAACAAAAGTGTTGTCAGCCATTTTAAAAGCACTTCCAAACGAGCTCAATATCATTGACCTACGATGAATGTCTACTTGGAGACAAGCTGCGGAGAGAACTTGTCCACTGACGCATTTATATCGACACATTCTTAATAAATGATCAACTACTACTATAGACAAGACTACAGCACTATTTTAGAAGTAAATCAGCCAAATTTTTTAAATACAATGTTAAATGGAATGAGATACTTCACAAACTGGGAGTACATAGTCTCATACACAAAGCAATCTTCTAAAGTTTTTTAGAGGCTGCTATAGAGGAACCGGGATTCCAGCACCCCCGATTGTACTCCCCCGGTCAAATTAAGATGAAACAAGTTCCTGTATACTGGCATCTTTTCATCAGAGAATGACGCCAATCCTTGAGAGGGTTTTCTGAATAAAACTTTAAAGCAAATGGTCGCTTATTATAAATTGGAAGGCTGGAACTAGTCTTTTGCTATTTCGCTCGTGGTGTCATTTAAATTCTTTGCTATCTTTTCTTGGTCAACAAAGTTTAAATTTGACAGTAGATTAAAGAATCTATAGAGATTTGATAAGAATACTGTTCTTCCCTATTTTATTTCTTTGACACGTGCAACTTTGTGTAGGATCCCACCCAAGATAATGGGATTTGTATCTTGTTTCGTCACTAAGCCCAAAAGTCTTAACGATTACCAGATTTTAAATGTTACTTGTTACCAATAGCAACATACTGAATTAGGTTCAACCGAAATACATCAAAAATTTGACAACTTAGTAATATCTATTCAACACAAATGAGAAGAAAACGAGTGTTTAAACTTACAACTTTGCCATCCTTTTTTGCTTCTTCCATCTTTTGATCCCAAGCTTCGGTAGTGGTGATGAGGTGCACATTCGCACCAGTAAACTCAATTTTATCTTCATAATCGTCTTCTTTAGTTTTACCCTACAAGTATCATGAAAGTTATAACTTGGCAGATTACAAGAAAAAAAAAAAGCAAGCCAAATACATGCAAGTGGACTACAAGAAATTTGAACGTTATCAACAAAACACTCAACTATCGAGAAGATCAATCAGGCGGTGATAAATTTGTTCTTGGCAGGCTGCGGATATTAAATATTATAGGCTAAACGTAGAGGGAAGAATATAGACTTCTACCGCATGCATCACAGACATAGAAATTGAGTTATTGCACACTGCTTATCTATCAACTTCATAAGCTTGAACGGGCGATGCGGACTTGTCCTAATCTGGCTAGGAAGATATTCTATTACAGCATTCAATACCATAGACCGGCCAAATCTCAAGCCATTCTTAAGAAAAAAGAGAAATAAAACGGAAGATAGAAAGAAAAACTAACCTTGCTCGCGCAAGATCCCATCTTGATGTCCAACACCAAACTAGTTACAGAGCACACCCGATAAGCCTAAAACCACCAATTTAATTAGGACAAGTGCAAAATGAATGCCATAATCTTCGTTGGCAAAGAAGAACGTCGAAAGATAACATATGACAGATAGATTGTTGGAAATAATCAATTTCATTAACACAAAGGGTGTAGTATTTCCATTCATTCAATTAGTCCGAGAGCATCGCCAAATACGTTTTAATCATTTTAACAAGCATTATCCAAGTGATTATGCTCAAGTAAAGAACGCCACCGCACTGAATCACAGTTGAGATATCAATAGCAAGGGCAAGTATCAAAATTTAAATACCTAAAAAAAAAAATTAAAAAAAGCCAAAATCGGAACATTTATCAACATAAATTCATACCCAGAATCCAATATTCTGAAATTCAAAGGGAAAACACAAATTAAAAACAAAATTTGCAACACATAAAAGAAAAAATAATCAATTTCATCGCTAATAAACATCTTATTATGCATTGGCTTGCAAGAATTAATACCGTTCTAAATTGAGAAATGCGAATAATAATTTGATTTATATACATACACACAAATACATGTATATGAATATGAAAATATGCTCAGAAATTACCTTCAGAATATGATCGAATTACTGAAAATTGTGATACGAATCGAGCGGCCTGTAATTTGAGAGAGAGAGAGAGAGAGAGAGAGAGAGAGAGAGAGAGAGAGAGAGCAAAACGTCTGCGTTTTCAGGATGGGGAAAATCCAAAACCCGCGTCGTTGTTGCAGGGAGAAAAACTGTAGAAGGAGAAGAAGAGGAAGAAGCTAATCTGAGAGGGTAACAGTAAACAGAGGAGCGTCGTGTTTTTCAACTTTTCCGTCGTCGTTAACTTGGTTAGTTAATTAGTTAATTCCGTTTTCCCATAAGTTTTGACACCTTTAATTATGGAGTCTTATTTATTTGTTTTTAAATTATTTAATTCCGTTCTCATCATTTTGGGGATCTCCAGTTTTTTGATAAAAATACGGATTAGTTTTGGGGGCCAGTATACGTCTAATTCAACAATTCGGGTGGTCTATTTTTTAAATCTTTATCATAGATAATTTTTGTTAGAAATCGAAAAGTATTTACTCGTTTGATGGTCGTGATGAAATTTTCACAATTTCTTAGAATATAGTGTTCGTCAATTTCCTTAAACTCAATTAGATGTCTTAAACATTTTCAATTCGGCTAATATTTTACAAGGATGGTTTATAAAGTATGACTTAAAATATAGACGGTTCGTGTCGTTAAAGTTCGATATGGTGTTTAAAGAGAGGGCATGTAATAAATAATATATATAATTTATGTTTGATGAAATGAATTTATTAATTAACATGAGATATATATATATATATATATATTTATATTTATATTATTTGTCATATTAATTGATACACTAGTGTGATATATAAATGTAATTTTTATTATATTTTGCTACTTTTTGTCCTATTTATTCGTATTGATTTAAGTCGTCATTTTATTTTTATCTTAAGCGCTTGTAATGCGTAGGAATGATAAAATTATTATAAAAATTTTGATACAAAACCAATTTTATGACATCTTTTATTATTATTATGACATCGTATGCCTTCATTTTGCATAATTGGTTCTCTTAATTACCCTCAATTCCCTCCATCAACTTGATTAATTCCATTAATTTATTTTTCTTATTAAAAAAACTTGGTTAATCCCTAATTAACCAAAAAAGTTAAATTTAGTAGGTCAACCTCATCAACTCTCCATCTTGCGCGTTCATCATATGCTATTTGTTTTGAATAAATATGCAAAAAGTAAATTTATTTTGATTAATTTATTGGAAATAATAGTGTTGTATCATCGTACATGAGATTTCTTGAATCTCAAGATATGCGCCACACGACACGACCTGTTAACAAACCGAATCCGTTATCAGATCACTTATTAAGAAACCATTAAGATAATAGATCTGACACGACATGACCTGTTAGGATAACGAATATGACATGAACATAACAAACACGATCCTTTAGCCCGGCCTAGTTGGATGTCTAAATTTTACCAAACCCTCCAAATTAAAATATTAGGAAGCATTTTCCCCTAATTACCAATATCTTAACACTGAGTAAAGCTGCAGAATTCTAATACGTCGTCGGAAGAATGGTTGGAGACGGTAATGATAGCCGGCTCCAACCGCGAAGTCCGTACTAAACAAGTTCTCAAAATACATGATGCATGATGAAACAATCTACATTTTATTTAATTAGCAAATCAAAGTTGCATTACAAGATCAAATTTATTGGATGAATCAAACAGCAAACATAGCAGTTCATTGGATTTCTATATTTCTCAATCTTTTAAGATGCAACAAGAAATGGAGATGAAAAATCAACACCGATCCCTTTGTCGATGGAATTAAAACGTGAAAACTAAGTTTCTGTCTAGAAATCTGGAAGGAACAACAAAGGAAGAACAGATGTCTGTTCTTCCTAAATTGAAACGCCCCATACCTGTCCCTCCCCAAACCAAACTCTAAATCTGGAAAAATCATCTTCAACCCATTGAATACTTCTGAGTCCAGCTACGTGCAGTAGATTCGTACTTGGCTCGATCAGTTTTGTACATGTGGGCAATCTCCGGCACGAGAGGGTCATCAGGATTTGGGTCAGTCAGCAATGAGCAGATTGAGAGCAATACCTGGTTCCATGCAAAATGGGCTTAGTAACTACAATCGTAACCATCTCAGGCAAATTTTTAGAAGTATAAAGGAAGACTAAGAAGTCGTGGCTCATAGCAAAAACTATGAATTGGAAAAACCAAGAATGAGATATATCATCTAGTCCTCGATCATCGCATGCAACATATTTTAGTACATTATCAACTCTTTACAAGACGTAAGAGTAAATATAATGAACATAAGCAATGCGGAGGGAATGGAGACACATATACATTAAATACATGATAATATTTGGAAACACACAACTGCAGCCACCGGCTTGAATTGTCCGGTAATATGTGCAAGAAGTTATAATCCCAAAAGGTACTTCACAGAAAGCATAGGCAAGCATCCCCACTATCCCCTTTTGATATTTCTTTTTTATCTATCTATCTATATATGTTAAATGAGAACTCTGTGATGCATCGAGGCAGCTTACGTATAGTAGTTCCAAATTAAACTTGGGTACAAAGACAAAAACAATGTTACGCAGGATTCAAGGAAATATTACAAGTAAATGAAGTCAAACAAACATAAATTTAGTCCGAAAAAAGACAAACCTTAGAGATAGTAAGTGCTGGGCTCCATTGCTCTTTTAGGATATCAAGACAAATGCTTCCATTGCTATTGATATTCGGGTGAAAGACCTTAGAAATGCAACCTGAAACACGAAATACCATTACCTTCTAGAACAAACAAAAGCCAAACCGACATCACAACGAAGCAGGACCGAATTTTGCACATAAGATCGTACAATTTACCTTAGGGGGCTTGAAAGGATAATCTGGAGGGAAATGAATCGTGACCAGGAATACACCTCCTGCATATGGGCTATCAGGGGGTCCCATAATCGTTGCTTGCCAATGAAACATGTCCTCAGCCACAGGACCTAATACAAAATTAACAATGAATTTTAGGTCGATATCCACTTGGGTAATCATATAATCGATAATTATACCAACACTCACACAAATCGTCGAAATCGACACGCACTGACAGCCACATCTCTATCACAATCATCAATTTATCGTAACAAAGTAACAAAGTTTTGAACTTTTGAGTCTTAAATCATAACAAAATTTCTGTTAATTATAAATTTTGAAAATAAACTTCGCGCCGACAACCACATCTCTATACAAATCATTAATTTACCATAACAAAATAACAAAGCTTGAACTTTGAGTGCAATATCATAACAGAACTTCATAAATCACAACTCAAAACTCAATTAAAAGTACCTGCGCTGCAAGAAGTTGGAGGATCCTTCTGCAAATCCTTGAGCTCTTTCAAGATGCGTTTCGACGCCATGATGAATCCCAATCGCTCACAGATCACAACTCAGAACTCGCAACCCAGTACCCGAAAATCTGTAAAATCAAACAATTTAAGACCAAACCCAATAATTTCCACACCCAAATCATCAAAACCCAAAAAAAAAAACTTCGCAATTCGAAATCAAACCATCATCAGATCAAATCAAAACAATTTCCAAGTTTCCATCAATCAAATACCAGAGAGATCGGACGGAAATATCGGCAGCAGAGGGAAACGGGTATGAAACAGCGATCCGGAGCTCCGCCCCCCAAATCTTCCGCTACCGCCAATCAACCGTTTCGATTGAGACCCCCTGATTTTTTTCCGAACAAGAACTCAGAGACTCTGTGGATTTCCCTTTCAACGCTTTTGGTACACCGTGTTTTCACCGTCTATGAAAACTCTTCTCCTTCTTTCTTATCCGTTACTTTTTCCTTCTCCTTTTTTTTTTTAAATTTTTTATATTTGTAACCGTTATTTACGGCGGCTTTCTAATTTAAATTTTTTAATTTTGGTGTGAAAATTAGGGGCGTCGGCGGTTTGGACGCGGCTCACCTAATTTGGATCGACTTATCCAATTAGGAAATTTTTGGGCGACCCAATAATTATTTGGATTAAATTTGGGTTGGTCGAATTGATTGAATAAAGCCGAAGAAAATAATAAGCAATGACTTTTTTATTTGAAGCTACTTCTAGTTTACTTGATTTTCACTTTGATATGTATAATTTTTTGTTATATTTTGTTTGTGACGATTCGTACTTAATTTTCCTATGTAATTTCTCCCCCGAGTATGTGTATTGACGATTATGCATTATTGGAAAGTGACGTGGACTTATTCTTATTGCTTTCCTTTTTATTTCTCTCTATCGCATATAAATTGTTATGCGTAAATTTTAAAGTGTAAAATATCTACTTCGGATAGATTTCGATTTCCTTTTACTGTAGGGAATCTGAAAAGCTATCCTTGGATTCCTTTTAAATCCTACCGGTGCACTTCCCTTCATCATTCAGTCTCAGCTATCCCATTTTTTTTCTGTATGTTCTGTCCCCCCTCAATCAGAAAAGCATCTCTCTCTCTCTTCTCCCTCTCCCACGCCACATTTCTTCTTCTTCTTCCTCTCTGCAACAACCACAAAACTCACAAACGTGAAAAACAAATTACACCATCGTGATCATCTCAGTCCCACGATCACAACCATGTCCTTGAAATCTAGTGTGGACGAGTTTTAACTCACCAACTCGGAAGGTCCGACTCGGCGAGTTCGAAACTACAGTTTTCAAGCCATGCATGGCTAAGGTAAGCCTTAAGAAACCCTTAGAACCTTCATTTCACTTCTATGGTTGTTATTGATCATTTGTTTGTGTTTTGAACGTGTGGTTTTACCTAGAAACTCGAGAAGAAGGAGAACCCGAAGTTTTTCGTACAAGAACCGTGGCCATTTAGTCACTTTCAAACCATTTTTTTGGTCAACCTCGACCACAACTGGACTTCTTCTAGGTACAAACTTGTTCTCTACATTCCTAACTTCAAAATGGCTTTTGAATCACTGAGTTTGGTAAAGTAACGAGTTAGAAATCAACTCTGGAAGTTGGGAAGAAAATTTTAGTTTTCTGGAAAATTTCAGCCGTGGTTGTTTGGCCACTTCCAGACAAAATTTCTGAATAACACGGACTATATTCGAACTTTCTGTAAATTGGGATCGGTAGATGACATTCCTAGCTTTACTTTGGCTTTTGTAGAAGTGAATTTGGTTGAGAATCGAGCTCGTTATGGGCTCTGGAAGTTGACCCAAAAATCTGCAAAACTGCAGATTTTCGCGAAGAAGGCAAGTACAGTGTACTCGCGGGGGCGCGTGGGCGCGCGTGGACCGCCACTTTGGGTGGCTCGTCCAGCCTCCGGCCGGCGCGTGGGTGACGCGTGTGGGTTCGTGTCGTCGAGTAGATGGATTTCATATATTTATACCCTAGGTTTAAGCAAACTATGGGGGTTTTATTTAGGTTTCCATTATGTGCTTTAAGTAATGTTATTTAGTTATTTCACATATAGGGGAAACTTATTCCGAGGATTTTCGAGGCCAAGCTAGGCTCGAGGGCTACGACCCAGCGACGTACTTGTGAGTGGACAGTTGTTTTATATATATATTTATAGTTTCCATAAATGCATATTTATGTCACTTTTACGCCTATTTTGCCTAGTATCATTATTGTGATATAAATTGTGATAACTGCTGTTATATGGTTGTGATATTACTGTCATGGCATTCATACGTGCTTGTGTACATGCTTATCTTGCTGCACCCGGTGTTAGTACTCGCCCCAGGGCCAGGGCCAGTCCTTCACATGTATGTTCACATTCGCACCGTTCGCTCACCTTGGATCCAAGTTTAGGTGCCAGTCTTGTCGGGTAGATTGCATTAGGCGATCCGACTTGTATGTGATGTGCTTTTGCACCAATCTTCATGTGATCGTAGTACTAGAGCATATTGATTACACCCAGTCCTGTTCGTGTCAGAAACCATATGTTCGAACTTGTGTGCAAGGAAGAAAATATCGGTAATATCGGAAATATCGGTAGTCCGAAAACACGGAAATATCGATGGAAATATCGGGATAATATCGATATCGATAAAAATTACATGGAAACCACGGAAATTGTAAGAAAAACTTGGAAATTTTTATTGAAACTTTGCAGGATGTTTATTTAGTCAATTATCTATTAGTTTATCACAAAAAATTGGAAGGAAATGCATTGCATGATGGATTTAACTGATTTAAGTTGATTATATAGCGAGCTGGCAAACATTGTGAGTGTAGAAAATATGTAGTAATTAATGAAAGAAGTTTAAACACACCAATTGGGGCTTATTGCGGCAAGTTTTTTAGATATGACATCGCATTAAGTCGTCTTTTGTGTTAATTTGTAATCTTAACTGGTTAAATTAAGCGGTACATCCAATTGGGGCTTATAAACATTTTAATTCTCTTTAAAAATCTAAGGGCATTTAATAAGGATTTTAAGTGATTCTTTATAGTTTAAGGGGTATTCGATCATGATTTTTAAGAAATTCATACATTCCAAATGTATTCATTTAGAAATTGATTCGAAGAGATTTTTAAAAAATTGGGAAACTCGAAAAAATTAGAAATATTTCACATAATATTTTAAACATTCTCAAATCGCTTCCTGAAATTTTGAGGGAATTCACTTAAAATTTTACATAAAAGTTTTAAAAATTATTAAACTTCATCAAAATTCATAAATTTTTAAATCTATTATAATCCTTTAAAATCTGAATGGAGTAAAAAATTCAAATCTAAACCTAGTATGAAACAATCACTAAATTACATAAAATTTCTAAACCAAATCTAATAATGATCAATTACAATTCTAATATTGTAATTACTTGGAGTTTTTTAGGGCAATTTAAGTAGATGATTTGGGGGCCGAAACTTGGTTAAATCCCTAAATTGCTAATTGAAACGAGAAAGAAGAGAAGACAGAGAGAACGAGAGGCTCCCCGTCTTCCTTTGTGCTAGTAATCCATGGCGTCAACGAGTCAACATCCCTCATCCTCATCGCCCTCCTCTCCCTCTTCACAATCTCCACCACCGCATCAAGGCCCTGCAAAACCCTCTTCGTTTCCTCCTACTCATTCTCCCTCCGCCGCATCCCCTCCTCCTCTTCCTCCTTCGGCTTCGTCACCATCGTCACCGAGATCAGCCAGATCCGCCCCGTCCACCTCCACCCCACCCGCTTCGACGACGGCTTCGTCCCACACCCTCACCACCACAACGCCAGCGAGAAGCGAACATCGGCACCCATTCTCCTCTTCCCCCCGGAGCCTGCCCCGCCGGCGCCGCGCTCGCCTCTGTCTCTGTTCCGCGTCTGCTTCAACCCAAGATCAGCCAGATCCCTCTTCGTTTCCTCCTACTCATTCTCCCTCCGCCGCCTCCCCTCCTCCTCTTCCTCCTTCGGCTTCGTCACCATCGTCACCGAGATCAGCCAGATCGGTGTCGTTGAGGCGCAGATCTTGGGTTTGAACATGGATTGCAGAGAGATCTGGGCAGCTGGGGGAACGACGCAGCCTCGGCTGCCTTTCCGACGACGGATCAACGACGATTTTTTCGATAATATCGAAAATATCGTGATATTATCGATAATATCGCGATATTTTGACGATAATGAGACGGATACCTCAGAAAATATCGGAACCTCAGAAAAACGATAATATCGGCGAAATATCGCCGATATTATCGATATTTAATTCCATGCTTGTGTGTCAGCTTAGATGGATGAGCACTTAGTTATATTGATTATCACATCATTATTATTGTGGCATATGATACATCATTTACCTAGCATATTTCTGGTTATATGGCTGATATATTGGATTTCATACTTACGTAGTATGTTTTGAGGAAACTATACTTGTTTTACGACGAGGGGTTAATATATTCAAAGATAAATGTTTTCTTATAAGCATTGTTTTGCTGACCCACTCAACTTTGTTTTTCGCCCCTCCAGGACCTAGATAGCTGTACTATCTGTAGCACTCGAGGAATCACGGCAATTCTGACATTTCCTTCTGTTTAGATGTACGAACTTATCAGTATTATGTAATAAGTGTACTTTGGTTGCTTTGACTACTCTTTCGTAGTCTCACTGTCTATCACGCTCTGAATAATTGTAGTGGGTTCAACCCACGAATTGCGCACTCTTTCACTGTTTAGTTCTAATTAGTTTTAATTTTATTCACTTTTTACATCACTTGCCCTTATGGTTATGTCACCTCACAGTGACGGCCAGCATGCTTCGACCTTTCCAGGTCGGGGTGTGTCATTGTTTCCTTGTAATTGCATTTTGCTTTTATTTTGATTTAATCCATCAACTGAGTTGTCATTATATTATTATTTAGTTGTATGAAAAGTGAGAAATTTCAAGTTCGAGTTTTAAAGATGATGAGTTTGATTTTGTATTATTAAGTAGATGGAAAAGATTCGAAACTACAAGGTTAATTTATAGAAGATGAGAGTTTTGAACTCGTATGAGCAGAAACTTAATATTTTATCTACTAACATATTAAACCATATATAAAAGAAATAAATCTCAAATGATTAAATTGTTCATTTCAAAATTTAATTAATTTTACCCCATTTGAGTGATTGATTGGACTAACGATTCTAACATAAACAAGGAAAATGTAACAAATACAATAACAGGCACCAAATTGAAGTTCTCAATAACAAATACAATAACAGGCACCAAATTGAAGTTCTCAATAAACGAAACGGACCATTGATGCAATTTCATTAGAATAATGAGTTTTCCTACAGTGCTACGTAACATTCAATACTGTGAGCATTAGATAACCCAGACCAAAGTAAAAACAATAAATCCAAGCCAATCCAAAGTATCCAACCTCGATAGCATGCATTTAGATACCGTTTGGTATGCAAACGAGATGAAACGGAATGAGTCGGGACGGAATGAAATGAAACGGAATGAGTCGGGACGGAATGAAATGAAACGGAACGGAGATTTCATGTTATGTTTGGTACGCGCAGGATGGAATGGAACGAAACAGAGGTTCTGCATTTTTGTCTTAAAATTTTATAATTTTGTGTTCCACGAGAGTGTAACAAGTCATTCTAGTGGGGAGGTGGAAGGAAAATTTAACCAAAATTCGTTTCCTGAGACCGCGCGTCCCACTATCTTTGACGCACCAAATATGAAACGAGCGCATTTCGTTCACTGTGTTCCGTCTCATCCCACTTAGAAAACGGTACCTTTATGCTAGCATGGAAGAACTTTCCAAAATAATAAGAAAACGCGAAAAACGTACAAGAAATTAGAAAAGAACGCAAAGAAGGCTCTTCCCGGCATCCTTTCTTAAAGACAAAAACAAAATCCAATCGGCAAAAAATCTCAGTGAAGGAAAAATACAACAGCAACAAGTCGGATCCGGATTCGGGTCTGTCCGTATGATTCGATTTCATTCTCCGGTGGCGGCAGAGAAAGAGGCGGAGCATTTTGTGAGCCTAACAATGGAGGACGATAAGAAGAAGAAGAAGAGGAACAAGAAGAAGAAGAACAAGCAGGACGAGGCCACCAACGATGTTCTGTTTCCGGCAACGGACAAGTTTCTCAGGCAGCCGGAGATGTTCATTCCGACGATGCCTCGTCCGTCGGCAATGGCCAGGTTTCAGAGGCCGGTGCGGGTGCTCGTTCCGATGCTGTGCGAGACGGAGACGGATATGTGAACGGGAAGAAGCATGAGAGCAATGGCACGGAATCTGTAAGCTTCTTTTTCATTAATCTACTGATTAGGATTAGTGATTGATGTGTATCACTAAACCTTTCGAATTTGAATTGGATCAATCACCAGCTGATTGTGCATTGCGTTTTGTGAATTTTATGTTGTGATTTTAAAGGATTTGAATTTTGTTTTTTGAATTAATTTTTACTTTTGCAGAGATTATTAGCTGAATCTGAGAAAAAATGGCTCCAAAGAGAGGTTAGTGTGAAGATGGATTACCTTACAACAGAGTTTATATTTCAATTTTGTTACGAAAGTTTTCGTCTTGAGCAGAAAATAACCAGTTTTTACAGGCTACATTAGAAGAAACAATCAAACAATTACAAATCGAAAGGGACATATATATACGGAAGGAGGTAAACATAATGAAAATTTGAACTTTATGAACTATGGACCGAAGATTAGGGTCATTTATCGTCATTCATTGGGTTTAAAGTCTAAACTTTTTGATGTTATTTCATATTTTCAGGCTACATTAAAGGATACTGTTAAACAATTACGGAATGAGAATGCTTCGCGTATACAGAAAGAGGTACTGCATTTTACTTTTGATTTAAGATGTTGGACTGAGAGAGAGCGGTTAAAGCCTTATCTGGTATGGTTCTTTATGACCACTCCTTTTGCCTGTGTATGATTTACTCAGGCAACATTACATGATACAATTAAGCAAATGCGGGATGAAACGGATTCACATACACAGAAAGAGGTAACGTAATCTAAACTTACTCGAGACAATTAGATTAGCTGACGAAGAGTTGGTCCATATCTGTGTTTATGATTGTGCTCTATCACATCTTATATTGCAATCGAACACTTGTTCTGCATGCATTTTGAAGACTGTGGGCCTAACCGGATGATTTACAGGCTGGTCTACAGATGGAAAATGAACATTTACAGAGCGAAAAAGTTTTGTGGCTTCAGAAAGAGGTGATTTGAGTTGCATCATAGGGATCTTTTGAATTATGTTCATCTTTCAGTGCAAGTGCACCTCTATGTTTTTTCTTCGCCTGAATGCACATAATTATGCTTTTTCTAGTGTTTGGTACAACAATTTTATAAACAAGATTGCAAACTAGAGGAATTGGTTGGTAATGTTTGTTGCAGGTTGGATTAGAGGACAAAATTGGTCGGTTAGTAGATGAAAAAGGCACTTTGCATTTGGAAAAGGTTAGAGCCGCCCTCCTTTGCTGTAGCCCCGTAACTAATAATCAGTTTGGTCCTTGATTGACTTCACTCCTGTTTTGCAACTTTAAAACTTAATTTACATGGTTCGACAGACAAGCTTACAGGAAAAGTTTAAACATCTAGAGGGAGATAGAGAGACCTGGACTCTAAAGGAGGTACTCAAAGTCTCAAATACTCAAATAACTCTTAACTGTAAATTGTAGATGGGGAATATTTGGCCAACAAGTTTATTGCTATTTGCACCTGAAAATTTGTCAGAATATAATTTTCATGTCTGCAATAGTAAAGAAATAATTGAAATACAGACCAGCATGGTTTCATCTTCTGAAACTCTTTTGTTACTTAATCTATCTCTTATCATTTTATATTAGAGACTTAGTTTCACTTAACATTTGGCTCTTATAGGATTCGTTTAAAGGAACGTTAGCAACTCTGAATGACGATATTGCTAGATTACGAGCACAGGTATGTAGCTGTATTGACCCAACCAATCAACTTGATGGATTCAAATTAAATTGCTTTTTATCTCGGTTGTCCACATGCATACCTACTTGTTTGAGTACAGAGGAGTTTGACTATTGCTGTGCTTTCTTAGATCCTGTAGGATAGGTTTGATTCGAGGCAGACCATATTCCTTGTTGCATGCTCATTCTAATTTCTGTTCACAAGTATTTCACATAAAATCTTTGTATTTTCTTCTGATATGGAAATTAAAACCAAAGTTGGGCAGGTGTCGGAATTGGAACAATCCAGGAATAATCTTGTACAAGAAAATCAACAGCTGATGGAAAACATTTCTAGTTTGCAGTTGCAAATTAAGAATCTTGAGAGTGTCTACTCTACTCCAGCATCAGACAAACTTGCAAAGGTTTGCTCCTATTTGCTTACCTGATTACCAAATTTTATCAGTAGCCTTATTCATAATAAGGGATACTAAGTTTGCGGGAGTTATGTTTCTCAGAGAACGAATTCTTACAATGGTGTTTGGAAAATTTTATTAACTACCATGAGCAATAAATTTATCAGTTTTGCTGGAAATTTTTGAAAAATAAAATATCTGACAAAGGTCTTTTTCTTTCTATTATTGCTTTCTTGACATATTACTTGTCAGAGGACGAAACATATATCTGACTTTGTGTTAATGTAGCAGGCTTCGGAACATGAGGAATTGAACTCTCAGGTTGAAGCAGCATGTTCACTAGTTGAGAAATTAGTTGCAGAGAATGCAGAGCTTGTTGAGAAGGTGAAAGGCTGCTTCCCTCCTGTAGTTTCTATACTATGTGTGACATTGAGACACCTGCGATTAGGTTTTAGCTATTACTATCAGATTTTGATGGGCTGACTAATTGTCTGATATATCTTTTACTGTATCCTAGGTGAATGAGTTGTATGGTGAACTTGACCGACGGAGCCTCACAGTTGAACTTGCTTCAACAACAGAATCTAATACACCAGTTGTACCTCCTGAAACTGCCAGTGTCATTGATCCCGTGTCCCTATCCACTGAGGATATGTCGACGTCAGATGAGAAGCTTGATTCCCCCAAAGTTGTTCCAATCAAACAGGAGATGCATAGTAATGGTAACATGGATTCTGAACATGATGCTTTAGTTCCAGAACTGCCAGTATCCGATGAAGTTAGTGAAATTGTTCAAATTCCGTTGGATGAGAATGAAGTCAGAAATCTAGAGGTGTCTCTCGAGAATGACAAAAATGCCGGTGTGCCACTCGTAGAAGCTCCCTTGATTGGTGCTCCTTTCCGGTTAATGTCATATGTTGCTAGATATGTTAGCAGTGCTGACTTAGTTAACAAGGGATCTGCTTAACTCTAGTTATTTAGCTTTCTACCTCGCCATGAGCAGGGGCATAATTTCCTGAGATTTTTGTCGAAGTAAGAAATACTATTCGTTTAGAGATTAAAGACAGGCCTTTACTTTGGCCATTTACATTGTTAAAGTATCAGAATCTGTAACTTGTGTTGAAGAAATACTTGTAAGCTGTGTGTTTTTCGCAGCAAGACAACACTTAGTTCATCAACCGCACCTTCTTTTATATACTGAATTCTACTTTTAGGAAGGGTAGCACTCGTGATTACCAAAAAAAAAAAAAAAAAAAAAAAAAAAACATTTGTCAATTTCCTTTTTTCTCTCCTACACTTTCATTTTAGCCGATTGTCTCCTTAATTTTTATAATTAGCCGAATTCCTCACCAAAACTTTTATCTTAATCAAATCAATTTTTTTTGCCACTTAGTACTATGGTCTAGTGGTATTCTTTTGTACTTAAGTGAGAGGTCTTAGGTTTAATTTTCGCTAATGGTGAATTTGAATTACATTATCGCTAGCTTATTATGAGGCTTATCATACTCTTCCACCCCCTTATTGTAAATAATATCGTTTGTTTAGAAATAAAAATATAAAAAATAAAATCAGTAATAGGTGAACATCAGAACATGTACTTGGCACATGCATATTTAACGGAAAATCGGATGGACGTTTCAAAACTGCAAATTGGCAAATGCTATTAACATTTAGGGAGTAAATTGGCAAATAACTAATTCAGGGGCAAATTGGGAGAAACATACTAGTTGATGGGGTAAACGACAGTTTACCCATAAATATATAATAGACTAAACATGTATCTCCATTTACTCCAACCCTATCGGCTAGCTTCTCTCTCTCCGCATACAAATCTGGATCTAGATGCATCCGGCGCTCTCTCCGGTGGAATTTTGCCACGGCAAATTGGCAAAATTGCACCGGCGCTCTCTCGCACCTTCACAGGCAGTCTCTATTCTCTTTCTCTCAGTCCCTGATGCATCCAGATCTAGATGTGGGCAAAAATCAGCAGCCAACGACCTCCAGATTCAATCTCTCAGTCCCTGATGCATCCGGATCTGGACCTTATATCAAGCACTCGGAAACCAGATTCAATCTCGTTGTTCTTCATATTATTGTGGTTGGTTGGTTGGTTTTTTTTTTCTTTCTGAGATTGTGATTTTCGAAATTTGTATTTTATAGTGATTAGAAATGAAACTGAGTTTTTTGTTTTCTGGATTTACAATTATGAGGTTGATGGATGGGACGGAAAACCAGAAGAAGGCCAAAACAATGGAGGGACAGGTGTCAACAAATTAGTGAAGCAACAAGCACTGCTGAGAGTAGATGGACCAAAGGGCAGTGTCATCTGACCCAAAGGTCGAGAATCAAACAGGTGGGAATTTAAAACCTGCTGCTGGCCCTAAGACTGCTGGCCGGAAGATGGCTGGCCCCAAGGCGGCCGGCCGGAAGGCGGCTGGCACAAGCTGCCTAAGAAGCTGTTAGGGAGGCCAGCAGATCTCGATCCGGCAGAGCAGGTGGAGGCCGCTGCACAAAGTTCAGAGAATGTGATCCAACGCATTCTCAATCCTCATCAGCCTCCTTCGAGTTCCATTCCGCCTCTTTTAACCAGTCCCACTTCGCCACCGTCTGGTAGCTCTCCGACTTTGGGCCAGTCTTCGGAGAGTGAATTGCGTTTGCAACTACAGATTTTGGAAATGCATGAAGTTTCTCCGACTTTGGGCCAGTCTTCGGAGAGTGAATTGCATTTGCAACTACAGATTTTGGAAATGCAGGAAGTTCCGGGCCTGTAGCCATCGGGCCAGCCTCCTTATGGTCCGCCGCCTTGGGGCCAACCATCTTCTGGCCAGCAGCCTTGGGGCCAGCAGTATAGAACAGCTGGCCGGAAGATGGCTAGCCCCAAGGCGGCCGGCCAGAAGGAGGCTGGCCTGAAGGCTGCATGCCCGAAACTTCCTGCATTTCCAAAATCTGTAGTTGCAAACGCAATTCACTCTCCGAAGACTGGCCCAAAGTCGGAGAGCTACCAGACGGTGGCGAAGTGGGACTGGTTAAAAGAGGCGGAATGGAACTCGGATGAGGCTGATGAGGATTGAGAATGCGTTGGATCGCATTTTCTGAACTTTGTGCAGCGGCCTCCACCTGCTCCGCCAGGGATCGAGATCTGCTGGCCTCCCTAACAGCTTCTTGGGCAGCTTGTATCACTTCTTGGGGATATGTCTGGGAAGGGAGCACAGGATCGAGAATATATCGTAGAGCATCTTTTGACCTTCGTGCAGAGACCGACACCTCATGTGCCTTCTGGAGTCGGGAGCCATGAAAAGCCTCATGGAGTTGTTACATCAAATCTCGGGGAGAGAGAAAGGGGTTCCATGGTGAATTGCCTTTTTTATATCTGTTGAGAGTTAGTTAGCACTGTAGCCGACTAACTTGAGATATAAAAAGGACAGTCTTCGGGATCCACTTGGGAGGCGGCGACTAGGGATTTTCTTTTTTCTTTTCTGTTTCTTTTCTTCTCTTTTTCCCTAACAAAACTAGAGAATCGAAATGAAAAGCTAAGACTACAGAAATGTAAGAAAGGAGAGAGATGAAAACTTAGAGAGATAGAGAATCTGATCTTGTATTTCACACACAAATGAATTACAATTTGTCATTTTTATATCTCAAGTTAGTCGGCTACAGTGCTAACTAACTCTCAACATTTAACAACCCTAACAGATTCTGCTGACATGGCTACACTTATGTGGCAGTGCACTGATGTGGCAGTGCTGTTCATCTATATGACTATATGAGTAAGAGAGTGAAATGCCCTACTTTTTAACGCTATTGATCAGATGTTGATCAAATATGAACGCCTGAGATCATCTCACGTGGAAACGGATTGTGTGATCCCGCAGAGTTGAGTCATTTTACGAAGGAAATGTTCTGGTGCTACCAGGTCATGGTCCGGAGACTCTGGAATTCGGGAGAGACTCTGAACTTCCGATTCGTATATGGAGGGCGATAAGGAGAAGAAAAGAAAAACAAGGAGGACAACCAGGCCACCGGCGATCGGCAAGTTTCTCTGGCCGCTGTCGCGAAGTTCGTTCCGATGTCGTGCGAGACGGAGATGTGAATGTGATTAGGCACGAGAGCAATGACACGGAATGTGTAAGCTTCAATTTCCTTAATTTACCATTTAGGATTAGTGATTGTTGTTTTTCTCTAAAACTTTCGAATTTGAATTGGATCAATCACCAGCTAATTGTGCATTGCGTTTGTGAATTTATGTTGTGATTTTAGAGGATTTTTCATTTTGTTTTGTTTTGAATTAATTTTTATTTGTAGAGGTTAATAGCTGAATCTGAGAAAAATTGCATCAAAAAATTGGCTTCAGAAGGAGGTGATTAAGCTGCATCATAGGAATCTTTTGGTAAATCTATCAGTTTTGCTGAGAAATTTTTGAAATATAAAAAATCTGACACGGTCTCTTTTTCTATTATTGCTTTCTTGACATATTACTTGTCAAATGACGAAAAATGTATCTGACTTTGTGTTAATGTAGCATGCTCTGAAATGTGAGGAATTGAACTCTCAGGTTGAAGCAGCATATTCACTGGTTGAGAAATTAGTTGCAGAAAATGCAGAGCTTGTTGAAAAGTTGAAAAGCTGATTCCCTCCCGTAGTTTCTATAGGAGTAATGTGTGCAGTCGTGTTATACATTGAGACACATGTGATTAGGTTTTATATACTACCATAAGATTTTGATGGGCTGACTAGTTGTCTGACATATCTTTTACTCTATCTTTGGTGAATGAGTTGTATGGTGCACTTGACCGACGGAGCCTCACAGTTGAACTCGCTTCAACAACAGAATCGAATACAACCGTTGTGCATCCTGAAAGTGCCAGTGTCATTGATGCCGTGTCTCTGATGAGATTAGTGAAATAGTTCAAATACCGTTGGATGAGAATGAAGTCGGGAATCTGGAGGTGTCTCTCGAGAATGACAAAAATGCTGGTGTGCAACTCATAGAAAATCCGCCGATTGGTGCTCCTTTTTGGTTAATGTCATATATTGCTAGAGATGTTTGCAGTGCTGACTTGGTCTGGTTATTAGTTTTCTACCTCGCCATGAGCAGGGGCATGATTTCCTCAGATTTTTGTGGAAGTAAGAAATACTATTCTTCTGGAGATTAAAGCCGGGCGTTTATTTTGGCCATTTACATTGTTAAAGTATCAAAAAGTGTAACTTGTGTTGAAGAAATACTTGTAAGCTGTGTGTTTTTGGCAGCAGGTTTGTACGTTTTTGGCAATAGAATTTGCTTTTCCTCGATCATCCTATTCCTAACAACTTCTTCCATGGTATGTCTCCTATCCGGCACCCTTGCCACGCAAGTCATTTGCTATTCGAAGCATTTGTGCCAACTCTTCTTCGATATTTTGATACCTCATTAGCCCGAGAATTAACTTTAAACTCTGAAGTGATAGATAGTTTATGTGTTTGCTGCAGCGGGCATCTCAATTTAGACTAGTTTTATGGACTGGACTGAATTAGTGAAGCGTTTGGTGATAATCAGACTAAGAATCATGATATTGAAAACCTAGAATTACACCTAATGCCTCAAGGAAATTGAGGCATTGAAATCCAAAATTGAACCCTCAAATCTCTAGAATTGCTACAAAATTTGCAAAAAGAAAATAAGAAATTTCACCAAATCCAGGAAATCTAACCAACAATGAGATATGCGGAAAGGGACAGAGAGACTTGCAGCTAATCCGATCGTTGGATATGCATCAACGAATGAGATCAATTCATCGGGAGGATCCCACAGTATTGATCCCGAGGGGATGTGAGTAGTTTTGTAAGAGAGGTGGATTGTCTGCTCTTCCATTTCTATCATCTTTCTATTCCTTTCTGTTTGTGTGATCACAGTTAAGTCATGTTAATATTTTACATTGATTATTTTATAAAAATAATAAGAATATAAAATGTTGACGTAATTTAACTGATACCACGTGGAGTGGATTGGAAGAGTATGAAAATGGGAGGGCAGACAGTCCACCTCCTTTTGGATGGGCCTTCGTTGGCAGAAAACAAACCGTCATTGAGTCATCCCTCTCAATCTCAATCGAATCCTGGGGTGTAGGGTTTCGAAGCTGAACAAAAGTACAATCGAGAGGTAAAGGGCGTGGCATTGATTCAAATCTGAAATCTCCGGCCATGGCAGACAATCAGTGGCGCCGTAATGCTCTCCGGTCCCATGCAGAGGGTGTCCGGTTCCATATGGAGGCTATCCGGTCCTATTTAAGGGCTTCCCGGACCGAGCCCGCTCACCACAAGGTGACCGAGGACCACATCCTGGCGGCCATTCTGCTCCCGTTCCCGGAGAACGAAACAACAACACCGGCAGTTTTGGACGAAGCCTGGAACGCCGATGATCCAAGCGAAGATGACACGAGCGAGTGCTCAGATGCTGACATGGGCACGGGCGAACATGATCATCCACTACATGAACCACTAGTTCCAAGCGAACGAGGCCCATTCACTGAAAAATTCTCACCAGAAACTAACGGTAATTAATATTTATTTTTTTATTTTGAAAAAGATTAGTATTATTCTGTATCTCCATTGTTTTGTACAGTGGAATGGTTGCAAGCTGCTTGGCCGAGGGTTCAATTGGCTTTTGAGCGCTTTGGCTTTCAGGCCAAAATGGATCTGGTCAGTTGCTCTCTTTCGCTTCTCTCTGCTCAAGTGTCATAAATTATATGCATATTTTTCATGTTTCTGATACGAACTTGTTGCATTTCAAATTCTATTCGTTCAGGACAAGAGTTGCGTAACAGCCGTCGCAATTGGGGATGATCATACTAAGTTCCCATTTTCTGCATCGCATTTTGTTTAACTTTTGACAAAAACAAATCTGCCACCTTCTTTGGTACTTCAATTACCATTTCTCATCTGACTTGTTAGCCCGCGAGCCTTTTGTTTCAATAGTTTTCTGATACGTCAACCCATGGTTCTGATTTCGGGCAATCGAAATAGTGACTGGCCTTAGGTTACATATCCATTACCAGATTGGGTTTGGATCCTCTTATGGCTCCTTGGTGAACAATGTGAGTATTTGGCAAGTTTCCTTTCATTTTTCTCTCACTGATCACTATTTTGGTAACCACATATCCCCAATATCTATACTTTCTACAGGAGGAATTTGAGAAGCGGCGCCAACTTCTCGTGGCCTCTCAAAAGGTACATCTCTGTAGCTTTACTGTTTTCGAGATTAATTTAGACAATCCTTAATGCAAAGTATCTATAACTCTACTGATATTTGCAGCACATTTACGAGCTGTCTCGCTGTACCATTTATGTTACAGTAAGTCCCCACTTTTTTTTCTTTATGTTGTTTAGCTGCTAGCTTCTTTCTCCTTTCTAGTCATTTTCTAACACGTCTATCTGAGAGTGCGCAGGAATGCTCTTTCACTGCCGTGGGGGATTATATTCAGCCTTTAAAGGCAGTCGATGAACTTATGTCACTCTGCTTGAACTCAGGTTACCATCCTGCCTACATCATTAAGCACCTTGAACCCGGTTTAAATGATAAGTTTGGGCCTTTCCTTACTAAACTGTAAGCCGTTGTTCTTCCCTTTCTATACCAGAATCACCTTTTCTTTCCCTTTTAACTGTAAGTAGCATCAACTGAAATCTTCTTAACTCAAATAACAGATGGAACAACAAATTTGACAACCCCGACAAGTGGTAGGACATCTCCTGGTCTAAGTCCCTTCCTATCTCTGAGGATATTGGTACCTTTCTCTTTCTTTCTGATGTAGGAAAGATGAATTATTACTTCTTTTTTTTCCTTTTTCAAATTTTAGGCGTGATTCTGAGATCGTACTCAAGCCAAAGTAGTCTTTAGTTGTGGACATGATATTTTTAACCGTGAAGCGGGAGCCTTGTGCACTGGGTACGACCTTTTTAAGTGTTCTGGCTGGGTCGCAGTTATGATACACAAAACCATTTTTCTGCGTATAAAAACTTTCTTCTTTACATATTGGTTTGTCAGATACCTCTAGTTACTGACTGCAAGTGCCTTGTCCAATTTTACAAGTAAACTATCTTAGAGCCAAGTGTTTCTATTTTGTGAATCAGTGTTTGTGTTGCAATCCATTTCCTCGTAAGCCTCATCTTGGAATTATAACTTTGGCATGCCCTGCTGTTTTACTGGGGATTACAACGTAAGAAAAAAAAATTACAATTTTTTTGTGCTTTAATGCAGCTGTAACGATTCTTTTGACTCGGCAAGATACTCGCTCTGCAATTCTTTGTGTTGCTTTTGTTTAATTTTCCGCAAGGACTTATTGCATGCGTTAGTTTTTTTTACTTGATGCAACTCCAATTATTTGAAACAACAGATACTTACCCAGTTATAAGCCTTTGTTGTTGTTTTTTCTGGGCAGCAAATAGCCTAGATATGTACAGGCCGCAGTTGGAATCGTCTTTGGAAGAGCAAGGAATAACCTGGACAGTAGACGTGGTATATATGTCACGATGAAATATGAGTGCAAATCATTAATCTTTCTGGAACCTGCTTTTGATCAATAAATGGTTTTTCTGTCATATTATCGTCAGGACAACAAATCCACGACGGTTTCAGTAATCGGTGGGGACCAACGTATTATTGACAAGGCTTCTCAAATTCTTGAACTCATGGCCAAGAGCACTGCGGACCAGGAAGTGGTAGGATTTTGTATTCATTCTTGAGATGATTCGAACATGTTTACAAGCTTTATGTAAACCCTGATTTCAATTTATCTTTTTGATTTTAAACAAAAGTTTTACAAGCATTTTATATCTGTTTTTGAAAATTTTGATTTGATTTACAGATAATTGATGGAAGTCAGCAACATGTTAATAAATAAAGGTTTTGCATGAAATTTGGTTGTGAAGAGGTGGGTAGATATAATTTATGGCAATGTAATATCTTATTAAACTTCCGTAATCAATTTTTTAAGCTACTGAGAGCTTTGATGCAGGCCTTTCAATATAGCATTAAAGGTATTTGGCATTAAGCTTTAAAGGACTTTGAGCCTTAAATTTAAAATATTTATATATTTTTATGCAGGCCTTTCAATATTAGCATTGTAATTTGGCAATTAAAGCTTTTCAATGAGGACTTTGAGCCTTAATTTGGATATTATAAGATTAATTTTTTAGTGGGTTTTAATCTAACATACTTTGTGCAGGAGGCAAGTTTGAATGGCATGCTTGAAGCTACATGGGCAAATTCCATCGCAAATATGGCTTGGCTTTAAATTATGCTACCTGTTCTATTAATTCGTTCTGCTAGCTTTTTCTCTAATATTTTGCAATATAATTTGGATTCAGGAAATAGCCGAGAAGATGCAGTGTAAATGTGAGCTACTTGTCATTTCTTTGTGGGAACTGAGCTGACTGTTAATGTGAGCTACTTCCTGTTGGGCTCACAACATTTTGGTTTCAGGCTATAGAAATTATGAACGGTCGCAGGCAACATATCTTCATGAGGATTGGGCATCAAGAAGGTGGTCTGAGCTCAAGGTTTGGGATCAAGGAGGTTGGTATATTATAAACTCTCCTTAGTTTGGTTTGATTTTGGAAATAAGGTTTACAGTTGATTAGTGTCTGGTGGTTAATATGCTGAGCTTTTATCTACTGTTTGCAGGACGAGTACACACAACGGTTGGTGATATTTATGGCCGCTTATAAGGTGAATAAAACAGAAGAATAAATGCTAATGCAAAATATGTATAAGTTTGTACATACATACACTCTTTCAGCTTGCTGTTACTCTAATCTTTGACAATATAATTTTGATGTAGGATGTTTCTGACTTGACAGACACGACTGTTTGTCACGTTGTAAGCGTTGTCAGCTGTGATTTGGGTTGTTAGGGGGTTGGGTTTACTCTTTTTCCCAACGGCGAACTGAGAATTGTGAATTGCTGATCATTTCATTATTTTTGTAAATGAATAATAGGGTCACACTGTTCTTCTGTTGGGGCGAGCTGATGTTGTTGGTATATTGGGGCGAGATGACGGGTTGGAGATGGCGAGGACTGTGGTTGAAGGCTACATTGTTCATGGCAGGGAGCATGCACGTGTGACGGAACACAGGGAAAATAAGAAGTCCAGAAAAAGAAAGTACAGAGAAGTGATGTATTGCCTGAGGGAAAAAAGAGGTAACTGCATTTGAGTGTGATGCACCGAAGCGAAGCAGTCTCTCTTTTCAAATATTAGGTCACTCAAGTAAATTCATGAACACCATCTCTTTCTTAATTTTGCTGCAATCCTTAAAGAAACCAAGAGCACAAGTATGTGATAATCGAAACCCGCCAAAACCCTGTTCAAAAATTGTTCCAACCAAGTCGTTGCAGCTTGAAGCATCCTCTGCGCAAGACTCAATCAACGATCCTAGCTCCATTGAAGCAAGCAGGTTCATTGGTTGAGAATTAGTCTGTGGAAATGCAGAGAGCTTGTTGGGAGGAAGGTGAATGGCTGCTTCCCTCCCGTAGTTTCTATAGGAGTAACATGTACCGTCGTGTTATTACTATTAAGAATTTGATATACCCTAGGTGATTGAGTTGTATGGTGAACTTGACCGACGGAGCCCCAACAGTTGAACGCGCTTCAACTTGATTCGCCAGAGGTTGTTCCAGTCAAACAGGAAATGCATAGTAATGGTAACTTGATTCTGAACATGTTTTGCTTCCAGAATCCGGTGAAATTAGTGAAATTGTGCAAATTCCGGTTGATGAGAATGAAGTCGGGAATCTAGAGGAAACTAGAGGTGTCTCTCGAGTCGCCAGCAAGGACGGAGCTAGGGATGGGCAATGGTTATGCGGGCGGGTAACCGCAGTTATTTTACCCATAACCATTTATGTTCATACCCGCATAACCGTTTACCCGTTGGGTAATTACATAAATGGTTATACCCATAACCATAACCGTTTATAAACGGTTATCCATACCCATAACCGTGTACCCATTTACCCATAACCATTTACCCATTTAACCATAACCATAACCATTTACCCGTTTACCCATTTTTTCGCCCGTTTATTCTTTTTTTACCCATTTATCCTTTTTTTTCGTCCGTCTGATTTTTGCCAACATCAGTCACCGCACTTGCACTAGCGATTTCATTTTACTACCGAGACTATACCTAGTAAATAAGAGCAACTTAAACCGTGGCTTGACATTCTGATCAGGTATGTCCATAAAGCCTTTCTAGATATGTTTTTTTTTTTTGATACACATTATCAACGACTTTAAAACACCAACCAAATGTTTGCCTCAAACCAACCTTTAATCAAAATTATAATGATCATCAATTTTAATGTGTAAAGCACCGATGCAACCGTTATCAAAATTTGGATTTTTATTTATTTCTTTTTCAAAAAGGAGGACAATTGGTGGTAAGCCAGCTAGGAAGACCAAGTGGCCCAGTGGTAAGAGCACGGACTGCAGTTCCCCAATAAACAAAGATGTGGGAGGTCTCAGGTTCGATACTCCAAGCTGGTGAGTCTATTTGACTGTGACCATGAACATGATGAAATTCTCCATAGCTTCTTTGGACCCGGAAATGATAGATAACTGTAGTTTGCCACTAGTGGCCTATTAAAAAAAATCATTTTAATGACAAAGTACAACCCCATCATGCTTAAGAATAATCAAGTGTACAAACCGACACTGCAACCCCTTGAGCAGATATAAATACATCCCGAGCAGGAGGAGCACAACACAACACAAAGTCGTCTTCCACAATGGTAAGTATTTCTCCTCCTGATTCCGTCCAACACCTTCGCTTCCGTAAAATTTCTAATTCGAAACGGCCCGCCTTCCTCGATTTCTTCCCCTTTCTTTTTTCTGCTATTTGATCATTTTTGTTGTAACTCTGAGGGTTTTTAATTTACATATATTAAATTAAATGGGTAAATGGATATCCATTATAACCATGAATATTACCCATAACCGATGAATACCCGTTATAACCGCGGATAATACCCATAACCATCCATTTAAATTTCATGGATAAACGGTTATACCCATAACCGTTTATTTGTTTAAACGGTTACCCATACCCATAACCATCAACTTTAAATGGGCGGGTAACTGCGGTTACCCATACCCATGGATATTTTGCCCATCCCTAGACGGAGCTAGTGTAGGCCTAGGGGGGCAGATGCCCCCACTCATTTTTATGAATGTTTACCCTGTTTTTCGCAGCAGATTTAAGATAAAAGTGTTTAGGGTTTGAATTGTATGTTTATTCTTCTCTCTAGAAGGTAAATATATAGTTGTACAATATCCCACATAACAGGAAATAAGAATCTCAATTATACAAGTAAAATAAATTATAGGATTACATTCCTAAAATAAATGGTTGACTAACGCCAACACTCCCCTTCAAGTTGGTGCATAGATATCTCCTAAGCCCAACTTGTCAAGTGAGTCTTGAAACACCCTTGCTGAAACCGCATGGGTTAACACATCTGCTAATTGTTCTTCCGACCTCACATATGGAATATCAATCAATTTGACATCTAACTTCTCTTTGATGAAGTGTCTATCTACCTCCACATGCTTTGTACGATCATGTTGAACGGGATTATTGGCTATTTCTCTAGCAGCTTGAATGTCACAGTATAATAACATAGCTCCCTGAGGCTTGAACCCAATCTCAGTGAGAAGAATCCTGAGCCATAACAATTCACAAATTCCAAGTGCCATCCCTCTATACTCTGCCTCGATCGTGGATTTAGCCACTACATTTTGCTCCTTACTTCTCCAAGTTACCAGATTTCCTGCTACGAATGTGAAGTAGCTTGATGTGGAGCGACGATTGGTAACGTTTCCCGCCTAATGAGCATCAGTATACCCATTTACCTCCATATGTCTATGCTTCCTGAAGATCAGTCCTCTACCTGGTGCACCTTTCAGATAACTCAATATACGCATCACTGCTGCCATGTGATCCTCATTAGAAGCATGCATGAACTGACTTACAACACTAACTGCATACGCAATATCCAGACGTGTAAGTGATAGGTAAATCAACCATCCTACCAATCTTTTATATCTTTCTTTGTTGGTAGGAACTTGATCCTAGTATATCGCCATGTGATGATTCTGCACAATGGGAGTTTCAACTGGTTTACAAGCCAACATTCCAGTTTCAGAGAGAAGATCAAGAACATACTTTTGCTGAGACAAGTAAATACCATCACAAGAACGAGCAACTTCAATGCCCAAGAAGTATTTCAAGCCTCCTAGATCCTTCATCTCAAATTCTGATGAAAGATACCCCTGCAGCCTTTTTATCTCTTTTGTGTCATCACCAGTAACTACCATATCATCCACATAGATAATCAACAAAGTAACTTTACCTTCCATGCGTTTGATGAACAGGGTGTGTCCGCATTTCCCTGTCTATAGCCGTACTTTTTCATTGCTTCAGTGAACCTTCCAAACCATGCTTTAGGTAATTGTTTGAGTCTATAGAGAGCCTTTCGGAGTTTACATATTTTTCCTGCTTCATTCGGTGTTTCATATCCTGGTGGAAGATTCATGTATACTATACATCTTCTTCCAGATCTCCATGTAAGAAAGTATTTTTCACATCGAACTGTTTCAAAGGCCAGTCCAGGTTAGCTGCTAAAGATAAAAGGACACGAATAATATTCATTTTTGCGACCGGAGCAAACGTTTCTTGGTAGTCAACTCCAAATATCTGTGTGTACCTTTTAGCTACCAATCTTGCCTTGTATCTGTCAATGGATCCATCCGCCTTGTGCTTTATGGTGAACACCCATTTACATCCCACTGGTCTCTTCCCTTGTGGTAGTGACACTACATTCCACGTTCTGTTTCTTTGTAAGGCTTCCATTTCTACTCCCATGGCTTCTACCCAATGGGGATCTCGGAAAGCTTCTTCCACTTTTGTTGGAATTTTAATCCCAGCCATTTGATTCACCATGGCTTGGTACTTGGGTGATAATTGATGAGTAGACACATACTGTGCAATTGCATATCTCACTTTTCCTTCCGAAGAAAACCTGTGAGGTGGTTTCCCCTGTTTTGCCTAGGAGGTAAAATATATGAATTAATAATATATGGAGTATGAGAACGTACCTCGTGGATATCCACAGGGACATGAGCGTGTACTAGTGGAGGAAAATGAGGGTTGCTTTTTGTTTGCATAGTTTCAGTATCACTCGTGGACCCATTACCTTCTACTGAATCCATAAATGGTGTAAGCCTATTATTTGACGCTACATGAGCTATTTCTCGGTTAGGGGTTTCACGGTCAAGATCCACTGGGCTTTGGCTTGTTGTGTCGTTGGCCACTACCAGGCTCTAAACTGCTATGTCGTGACCCTCTGGTGAAGCACGATCAGGGGGGTTGCTCATAACACCTGAGTCTTCAGTCTCGGTCTCGCCTGTACTACTGGGACCATGCCAACTGTAGTCTTCAAGTGGAACATCAAACTAATTGTAGTCTTCATTTTTACTATTCAACTTCCCCTGAAGAGTACCATAAGTTTGATCAGAGATGAAAAACATCTTGGTTTCGAAAAACGTGACATCCATGGTGACATAGAAATGCTTAGTAGGTGGATGATAACATCGATATCCTTTTTGTTGGCTATTAAATCCCATAAATACACAACGAACATCACACAGATCCAGTTTACTCTTTTGATTCTTGTGAAGATGCACATAAGCCACACATCCAAATATGCGAGGTGATAAATTGAAGAGAAGATGGTAGAGTGACATAATTCGTCAAGACTTCCATGGGAGTTCGGAAGTTGTGAACTCGATAGGGCATTCGATAAAGAAGATAAACGGAATACGTAACTGCATCCGCCCTATAGGCATGAGGAGCATGAGGCCCAATTAGAAGAGCCCATGTAGTTTTCAAGATATGTCTGTTCGTATGTTCTGCCACACCATTTTGTTGAGGAGTTTGAGGACAAATAGTCTCGTGAAGTATGTCATGCTCTACGAAAAATTGTGATTGTTTATAATTAAGGTATTCTCCATCATTATCGGATCGCATGACTTTGATAGGAAGAGAAAATTGATTTCCAATCATCTAATAAAACTGTGGGAAAAATTTCCCAACGTCACTATTCTATTTCATGGTATAAAGCCAAGTCATTCTGGTGCAATCATCTACAAAGGTAACAAACCACCGAATATCATGGCGCTTCGTTATTGGTGAGGGACCCATACATCGGAGTGAATTAACTCAAAGGGCATTGATTTTTTATTGAGACTCAAGTGGTAAGAAGTACGATGACTTTTTGCAAGAATGCAATCCTGACACTATCAGAGTCTGAAACGCCATTAAATAAAGACGGAAGTAATTTTCTTAAATAACCAAAAGATACATGTCCTAGTCGACGATGCCATAACCAGATTCTCTTAACCTTGTTGTTGTGACCACCGCGCACTGGGTTGACTCAGCTCGGTACCACATCATCCACATAATATAACTGTTTCTTCTTAGTATCACGTCCAATGATCGCCCGTGTCTGGATATCCTATAGTAGGCAAAAAGTGGGAAACATGAATACAACACAATCTAATTGTTCCGTAACTTAACCAACAGAAAGTAAATGATTCGACAATGAAGGAACAAGAAAAGTGTTATGCAGAGATAGAGAGGGAGTAGGTGCGATGGAACCCGCTCTTGTAACTGGAGCAATTTCACCGTTT